AGCTCCGCCCAAAATCTAGCCCCGCCTCCAAGCCCAGGCCCGCACCAACCCAACCCGCCCCAACCATCCCGCCCCAAATACAGCCCGGCCGCCAAAACCAGCTCCGAACTTACACCTCAGCTCCACCCAAACCCAGCCCCGCCTCCAACACCCACCCCGCCCCCAATTACAGCCCCGCCCCCAAACCCACAGCTCGCCAAAACCCCAGCTCCGCACCAAACCCAGCCCCCTCCAAGCCCAGGCCCGCACCAACCTCAACCCCGCCTCCAAACACAGCCCCGCCCAAATACAGCCCCGCCGCCAAACCAGCTCCGAGCTTACACCTCAGCTCACCCCAAACTCAGCCCCCTCCAACCCAGCCCCGCCCCAATTACAGCCCCGCCCCAAACCCAGCACCGCCCAAACCCCAGCTCCGCACCAAACCCAGCCCCGCCTCCAAGCCCAGCACCAAACTCAACCCCGCCCAACCCAGCCCCGCCCAAATACAGCCCCGCCCCAAATGCAGCCCCGCCGCAAAACCAGCTACGGCCCCAACACCCAACCCAAACCCGCGCCCCTATTTTTTGTCCTGTTTGAAGCAGAGCCTCCACGCTGATTGACAGAGAGGTTGAGCAAAATAGAGAGAGAGAGCGTGAGAGAGAGAAGGGACGGACAGAGTGTGTGCGAGAGGAAGAGAGTAACGTATAGAAATCGGTAAATATTTGGATTAATGCAGATTTCCGAAGTCTGTGAAGGCTTGAGACGTCTGGCAGACGTGATGAGGAGCTGTGTGCAATGTAAGGATAATTATTTCGAGATCAGAAGCTGAAAGTTTTAAAGCCTGAAGTTTATGGTTTGAAACGTGACTTAATGCAGACTTTTCTCTGTGCAAATTGGCTCCACAATCGCTCACAAACACAACCGTTGCTTCACGGTCGATCCCGAGAAAGGTTTGAGCCGTGAGCCCAGTGTGAAAGGTATAATATAAACTATAAGCTTTATTGTAGCGACACGATTATAAGTTCATGCTGGTGCCATCACAGCCAACACAGGTAATGCTGAGTGTTCCTCCTCATTAATATGTCACCCGGCAGATCCAGAGGTTCAGAGTTTTCACCACCGTGACCCCAAGGGATTGAAGTAAGGATAAATTTCTCAGTGAAATCTGGTGAAAGTGTGGAGATGGACATGTTATCAGCGTTGTAAAATGTTACCTCTCCCCCTCATAGTCCAGATAAACTCCAGCTTCCGGTCTCTCTTTTAGGGTCAGGCGGTGGAGGTGAGGTACAAGCTCCATATTGATCCCCGTTTATCAGTATCACAGCCCAGAATCCATCCTCTGGTGACACTGCTCTCCTTTCCTGCTGACAGACTCTCGAGGCCAATCCCACATCCCAATCTGTCTTGTTGGCCACCTGCACCTCCCAGTAATGTCTCCCTGATGTGAAGCCCTCAGACCCCAGGACACAGATACTGGTATCAAACCTCTTCGGGGAGTCAGGGAGCTGCTGCCGTGTGTCTCCGTCTCTCACGGTGTCAGGTCCTCAGACAGGATGAGGTAGGGATGCGCTGTGTCAGGATCCAGAGTCAGAGAGGCCGGAGCTGAGAGAAATGAAACAACGCTTAGGGAGAGAGGGGACGTCTGGAGCTCGGACTGTGTGTGAACAATCTGCACCTGGGGACACAATCCAGCTCAAAGATTCACAGTATATCTGGTGGGAGAGAGGGAGTGAGTGCACGTTTATGTGTGTGTGTGTTAATGTAGGGTGTGGTGTAGAGTGAAGTGTTGACATTATGTGTGGTGAGTCGTGCGTGTGATGTGTGCTAGTGTGTGCGAGGCGTGTATTTGTTTGTTTGAGCGTGTTTGTGAGTGTGTGTGAGGTTACTTGACGGTGTCTGATTGAGCGTGTGTGTGAGGGTATGTGTGAGAATGTGTGTGTGGGGGTATGTGAGAGGGTGAGGGTGTGTGTGAGGTTGCTTGTGTGTGACGGATTGTGATATTTGTTGTTGAGGGTATGTATGAGATTGTGTAAGAGGGTTTGTGTGATTGGTTAGTTGTGATTGTTTGCGTGACGTCGTTGAGGGTTGTGAGGCTGTGTGTGTATGTGATTGTGTAAAGGGGGAGTGATTGTGTGTGTGAGTGGATGTTGATTGTGTGCGAGATGGTGGGTTTGACGGTTTCTGAGGGTGTGTGAAGGACTGTGTGTGAGTGTGTGTGAGGGCATGTGTGGGGGTGTGGGTTCGACGGGTGTGTGTGAGAGTGTGTGTGAGGATGTGTGTGTTTATGTGAGGGCATGTGCTATCGTCTGTGTGAGGATTTCTGTGAAGGTCCGTGTCAGGAGCTGTGAGAGGGTGTGTGTGAGATTGTGTGTGAGGGTGCGTGTGAGGGGTTGATTGAGGGGGGTGTTAGGGGACGTGTGAGAAAATGTGTGGGAGAGTAGGTGTGAGAATTGTTGAGTGAGGGAGTGTGAAGCTTGATATGAGGGTGTGTGTGAGGGGGTATGTGAGGTCGTGTGTGTACGCGCTGTGTGTGAAGGTGTTTGTGAGGTTGAGCGTGTGCGTCGGTGTGTATGAGTTTATGTGAGGGTGTGTGTGCGTGTGTGTGTTTGAGTCGTGTTTGTGAGGGTGCGAATGAGGCTGCGTGTGAGGTTTTATGTGAGGCTGTTTGTGTGATGGTGTGTGCGAGTTTGTGTTTGTGAGTGTTTTCTGAGGCTGTGTGTGAGGGTGTGTGTTTTAGTTGTGTGTGTGTGATGGTGTGTGAAAGCGAGCGGGATTGTGTGAGGTTGATTGTGTGTTTGTGAGTGTGTAAGAGGGAGTGTGATTGTATGAGTGAGGGGATGTGTGTGTGAGAGAGATTGTGTGTTTGAAGGCGTGTGAGAGTGTGTGTGAGAGTGTGTGTGTGAGTGTGTGTGAGGGTATGTGTGACGGTGTGCGTTTGAGGGGTGTGTGTGAGCGGGTGTGTGAAGATGTGTGTGTGGTTATGTGAGGGTATGTGCTATCGTCTGTGTGAGGAGTTGTGTGAGGGTTTGTGTGAGGGTGTGTGTGCGGATGTGTGAGAGTGTGTGTGAAGGGTTGAGTGAGGGTTTGTGTGAGGGGTGTGTGCGGGGTGTGTGAGGGGTATGTGAGGGTGTGTGTGATGGTTGTGCGTGCGTCGGTGGGTTTGAAAGTGTTTGAGGGTGTGTGAGGGGATGTTTGAGGATGTGTGTGAAGGGTGTGTTTGAGTGGTGTGTGTGAGCGTCTGTCTGAGGGGATGTGTTTGATGGTGTGTGTGAGGGTGTGTGTAAGGGATTGCGATAGAGGTTGAATGAGAGGTTTTGTGTGAGGGTGTGTCTGAGAGTCTGTGTAAGGGGGGGTGTGGGGATGTGTGATTTTCTGTATAAGGACGCGTGTGAGGGTTTGTGTGAGGCTGCGATTGAATGGTGTGTGTGAGGGTGTGTGTGATTGTGAGGGTGTGAGGTTTTGTGTGATGTGTGTGAGGGCGTGTGACAGGGTTTATGTGAGGGTGTGTATGAGGGTTGATGTGATTTTGTGTTTGAGAGTGTGTGTGAGGTTGTCTGTGAGGGTTTGTGTGAGTGTCAGTATGAGGGGATGTTTGAGTTTGTGTGCGATGGTCTGCGTGAGGGAGTGTGTGAGGCTGTGTGTCGGTGTGTGTGAGTGTGTGCGAGCGTGTGGGAGGTGTTTTTGTGAGGTGTTGTGTTTGGGGTTGTTTTGTGAGGGTGTGTTTGATGGTGTATGTGTGCAAAGGTGTGTGAGTGTTGTGTGAGTGAGGGGGTGTGAGCGGGCTTGTTTGCAGGTGTGTGTGATAATGTGTGAGCGGGTGTGTGAGGGTGTGAGTGTTCGTTTATGTGAGGGTCAGTATGAGGGTTTATGTGAGCGGTTGTGTGACGTGTTGTGTGTGAGGATATGTGTGAGCGTGTGTGTGAAGCTATTTCTGAAGGTGTGTGTGAGGTTGTGTTTGAGGGTATGTTTGTGTGTGTGTGTGAGGGGTATATGTGGGGGCGTGTGTGTGTGTAATGGTATGTGTGATTGTGTGTGAAGGGGTATGAGAGTGTTGTGTGAGAGGAGTTGTGTGAGAGTTTGTGTGAGGGTGTGTGTGTCAGGGTCTCCGTGGGTGTGTGTGTGAGTGGTTGTGTGAGAGTGTGTGTGAGGGTGTGTTTGTAAGGGTTTGTGTGAAGGGGTGTGTGAAGGGTGTGTGTGGGTGTGTGTGATGGTTTGTATGTGTCAGGATCTGAGTGTGGTTGTGTGTGAAGTTATGTGTGAAGGCGTGTGCGAAGATGAGTGGGAGTGGTTGTGTGATGGTGCGTGATGGTGTGTGGGTCCGCGACTGTGAGAGGGCTTCTGTCAGGGTGTGTGTGAGTGTGTGTGTGAGGTTCTGTGAGTGTGGGTATGAGTGTGTGTGAGCGTCTGTGTGATGGTGTGTGTGTCAGTTTCTCTGTGAGGGTATGTGTCTGGGTGTGAGTGAGTGTGTGTGAGTGTGAGTATGTGTGAGTGTGTGTCAGGATGTGTGCGTGAGGCTGTGTGTGGGTTTGTTTGACGCAGTGTGTGAGGTTCTGTGTGAGAGTATGTCTGATGGTGTGTGTGAGATTGTGTGCTAGATTGTGTGTGTGTTTGTGTGCGTGAGGAATTGTGTGAGGGTGTACGTGAGGGTCTGTGAGGGGTGAGAAGATTGACATTGTGCCCCTCACTGAAAGCTGGATCAGCCCAGGTGACACCTTTCCCCTCACTGAGGCCACACCACCCGCTACACCTACCACTATGTTCCCCGTCCCAACCGTCATGGTGGTGGGGTGACCATCATTTCCAGGTTGTCACTTGCCCTGTCCCCCTACTCCACCGGCTCATTCCGCACTTTCGTTCATCTTACCCTCTGCAATGTCTCCCACCTCTCTCTAAAAACACTCCTAATTATCTGCCCCAAAAACCCAGCCCCACCTTCACCTCTGACATCTCCACCCTCTCGCCTCCCTCTGCCTCTGCTCCAAACCCCTCATCCTCGGCCAGTTCAACATCCACTTCACACCCTCCTGCTACATCGCCTCAGACTTCTCTATTCTCCTGTATGAGGGAAGTGTGTGGGTGGTGTATGTGTGTGAGGTGTGTGAATGGGTGTGTAAGTGATGGATGTGTGTGAGGTTTGTTTGAGTGATGTGTGTGAAGATATGTGTGAGGGTATTTGGTGTGCTAGGTGAGCATGTGAGGAATGTGTGTGTGAATGGTCCGTGTGTGAGGGTTGTGTGTATGAGGTGTGTGTTTGAGCTGTGCATGTGAGTGGTGTGTGTATCAGGTGTGTGCATGTGAGGGGCGTATGTGTGAGAACTTTGTGTGTATGTGGGAGAAGTAATAATACCCATTGCATTTGATATAGCGCTTTTTATTTCTTCTCGATGTCTCAAAGCACTACAAGGAACAGAACGTAAAGTGAATTGACAGTATATTTGTGGGCGAATCGCGGCAGCCAATTACGCACAGCAGTGTCCCACAAACAGCCTTGGAATGAAAAGAACAATTTTTTTCATTTTGGAGTGATTATTGTCAGTCGTTTGGTGTAAAGAAACTCGTCCAAGGTTTCACCCTGCCTGCAATTGAAGCCTGATGTCGATGGTACGAGCGGTTACAGCACTCGCTTTGCAAGCGAGAGACCTGAGTTCAATTCCAGACAGAAGGCGAAACCATGGGCAAGTTTCCTTACTCCACACAGAGCCTAATAATAATCCCTCCAAAACCAAAACCAATAGTAAATTGGTCATCTTTAATCCATGACTATTTTTGGGACATCGCTGTGCCCAATTGGCTGCCGCGTTCGCCCACAAACATACAGTCAATTCACTTTACAGTATATTCTGTGAAGCGCTTTGGGACGTCGAGAAGATGTGTAAAGCGCTATATCAAATGCAAGGATTATTTGTGGAGTCCTGTAGCTCAGTGGTTAGAGCACTCGCTTTGCCAGTGAGTAACCTGAGTTCAAATCCAGACAGGTCAGGGCGAAACCTTGGGCAAGTTTCCTTACTCCACACGGAGCCTAATAATAATCCCTCCAAAAAACCCAAAACAATAATAAATCGGTCATTTTCAATTTACGACTGTTTGTGGGACATTGCTGTGCGAAATTGGCTGCCGCGTTCGCCCACAAATATACAATCAATTCACTTTACAGTGTGTTCTGTGAAACGCTTTGGGACGTCCTCCCGACGTGAAAAGCGTCATATCAAATGCAAAGATTAAAGATTAAAACTAAGTGTCTCGCTTGCAAGGTGAGCGCTCTGAACACTGAACTACAGGAATTCATGAGGTGTGCATGAGGTGTGTGTGAGAGTGTGCATGTCTGAGGTGCGTGTGCGTGGTCTGTGTGAAGGTTGTGCTTGAGGGTGTGTGTGTTTATATCTGTGTGTGAGAGAGGAGAGTTTATGTGTTGGGATCCATGTAAATGTGAAGCTGTTGACACGGCTTCAGGATGAGAATGGGAGACATTTACCTGGGCTGATGCCGTGTATCATCTGTCTCCAGGCTGTGTACTGTATAGGCCCTTTGTATATCCCCACAGGCAGCTCAGCCTCACACACCGACAGATCAAACCCCTCGTTACTGACCCTGAAATAAGACAAAATCACATTATAAAGTGAAACTGCATCTTGTGGGTTTGTGGGTTCAATTCTGGGATATTTGGTAAAGATCATTTCATACCTTCTGTTGCCAGCGGCTTCCTCCTAATGAAATCAAACACAGACAGATATCAGCTCACACTGAGTCACCACCACCAACAAAAAGTTACATATGGACTGCTTATCTCAAGTTCCAATTCAATCTCTGATCACGTTATCAATCACAATCAGATTGTTTGCTCCAGAATTTTTGTGTAACTGTTACTGAACGACATTATATTGTCACCTCTTTACCTGCAGGAATGTGAGAGCGTCTTTTCCCATCTGTATCTGTAACTCGGAGAGTTCTTGTTCAACGGAATCTAATTTGCACTGAATCTCTCGCAGATTTGTCTCCATTCGCTTTAAAATCTCCTTATTTCGCTGTCTGAGATCTCGCATCACTCGCTGCTCTCTGACATTCAGAATCTGGTGCATTTTATCAAACTCAGCCGTGACGTTGGACTGCAGACTTTTCACCTGTTTCTGCAAATGTCAGACATCCAAACATGTACGCACAGTAAACAGAGATACTGAGATATCACAACGTGTAAACACAGTAACCAGAGACACTGATACATCACAGAGTGTCCACATAGTAACCAGAGACACTGAGACATCAGTTGTGAAATCTTACCTTAACTTGAGAAATCTTTTCTCTCTGTTTGGCTTCTGCTTTTATCGCTGTTTCCTTCCTCTGTGTGAGAGAAGCTAAGGAGGATTTCCATTTGTCCTGTAATAAATGCACAGAATTAACGTGTTTGAAGGTGAAAATATCTGGTGGATCAGATATAATCCATCTTGAGGGGGATTCTTACCTTATAGATGTCAACAGCTTCCTCAATGGGTAGGAATCTGTGGCCCCTGTGTTCCTGCCCATGACTGCAAACTACACACAGCAATTTCTTGTCAGATTGACAGAACAGCTTCAGTTCCTCCCGATGTTTCTCACAGTGAATTTTATTTTCCGTCTGTGTCGGGGTCAGGCCCAATTTTCGAGCTTTCTCTGCAAGACTCGCCAAGGCCCAACTGGCTGTGAGGTTCTTTTCTGGTAATGTCTCCTGACAAACAGCACAGCAGTTTTTCTCCTGCTTTTCCCAGCTTCGGGTGATACAGAAGCGACAGAAGTTGTGGCCACAACTCAGGCTAACGGGACCAGTGAAGAAATCCAGACAAATCGGGCAAATGATCTCCTCGGTCCAGATCTCAGCCGGGAGACTGGAAGCCATTTTGATCCTCAACACTTCCTGACAGAAACGTGTTTCGGTTTCGGTCTGAGTGTGTAGGCGGCTCCCATTCACTGAGCTGACAAACCCGCTCCTACAGTCTCTTGTGAAATCAGTGATTGTGACTTTGATCCCAAGAGAAGATGAGAAAACCTTGTACAATGACAAGGACACCCAAGCAAGGAAGGCGTTGGACTATGAGGAGGGGTGGTGTGCATGATGGTTGGGGCGGGGAGGGTTGGGGGGATGATAAAATAGCGCCATCAAATGTGTTAATTTGAGGTTGTTTGAAAGATCTCGTATCTCTGAGATGGTTTTCTGGTGCGCGACATGTGCAATGGCTGAAATCTCGCACGGTGAGGCAGATATTGGGATGGGTGGGGGTGATGTGAAGAGTGAATGGTGTGGCCGGGTCAGTTGGGCTGAAGGAGGTGGCGGAGGAAGTGCCGTGTAAAGCAATGAGGGCTTTTGAAATTGAAGGCACGGTGGACGACAAAAACCTTCAAACGGGACTTGAAGGAGATGAGGCAGAGGGAATGCGGGTATAGAGTTCCAGAGTGTGGGGACAGAGATGCTGAATGTCCGACCTCCAACGGTGGGGTGGGAATTACGGGTGACTTGAAGCAGGCCGGTGTCTGCCGAGCGGAGGGAACAGACAGTCTGATATGCGGTTATGAAGTTGGTGAAGTAGAGTGGAACAAGATCGTGGAGGTGACTTGAAGGAACAACACGCCTGATCTCTGTGTAACAGGGCTGTACTCCATATAATTTCGCTGAGCTCTGCATTGACGCCTGGTCTATATAAAAAACGCCAAGTGTCTGCATAACAGGTTTCAGCTCTGCATGACGGGGCGGATCTGTTTATAACAGGTCTGGTCCCTGTATAACAGTCCTTGTCAGTGTATAACAGCCTGTTCTCTGTCTAACTGCCATCGGCTCTTTACAGCATGTATGGTCTCTGTACAAAATATCTGCACAGTGTGTAATAGACCTGATGTCTGTACAGCAGCTCTGGTCTCTGCATAAAAGCTCTGTTCTCTGTATAATAGCCATAATCTCTGTGAAACAAGCCTGGTCTCTGCATAACAGGCCTGACTTTATAATAGTCACCATCTATGTGGCTCTGGAACTCTATCCCCCAGTGCCTTCGCTTTGCCTACTCCCTTTCCTCCTTCAAGGCCGGTCTCAAGACCTTTCTCTTTGACCGTGCCTTCAGCTCCCCTCTCGACTCTCTACCCTCTCCTCGCTCCCAATCTTCCTCCCCTCACCCTGACCATTTCCCCCTTGCTCGGGTCCTGACCCAACTGTAGAGCGCCTTGGGACGTCCTCCCGACGTGAAAGGCGCTCAATAAATGGAATCTTGTTGTTGTTTTGTTGTTGTTGTTGTAACTGTCCTGATCTCAGCATAAAAGGCTAGTATATGTATATTGGCTTGGTCTTGTATAATAGGCTAGTTATCTGCGTAATGGTCATGGCCTATTTGAAGCTGGCCTGGGCTCTGTATAACTGATCTGGTTTCTATAGAACAGCACTGGTCTCTGTATGACAAGCCTGGTCTTTGTAAAGTAGCGTGGTTTCTGAATAACAGTCCTTGTCTCTGTAAGACAGACCTAGTCTATGTACAACAGGCCTGGTATCGGTGAAACAAGCCTTGTCTCTGTACTATTGCAATGTTCTCTGCATAAATGTCCAGGTCTATGTGTAACAGCCTGATCTCTGTATAGCAAGCCTTATATCTGTAAAACTCCCTGGTATTTGTTTGGATGGCCTTGTCTCTGTATTAGAGGCCAGATTCCTGTAGAACTTGCATAGTCTTGGTATAATAGCCCTCGTCTCTTTATAACAGGGTTGCTCTCTGTATAACTGGCCTGGGCTCTGCATAACTGGTCTAGACTCTGTATGTTCTCTCTATAACTAGCCTATGCCTACATAAAAGCTGGTCTGTGTATAACTGGCCTGGCCTCTGTATTATCTCCGTATAAGTGGCCTGATATCTGTGCAAAAGCCTGTTCTCGGTTTAACAGCCCTGGAAATAGTGTGACAGGTTTGTCTATGTATAATAGGTCTTGTCTGTGTACAAAATGCAAGTTCTCTATATTATAGCCTGGTGTCTCTATAACAGAGGTCGAGTTATACAGTTCTAGTTTCTGTATAACAGCCTTGTCTCTGCATAGTAGCATGGTCACTGCATAACAGGCCTGGTCTCTCTATAACAGACCTGGTCTCTATATAACAGGTCTGGTCTCTGTTTAACTGGCCTGGGCTCTTTATAACAAGTCTGTTCTGTATATGAAAGCTCTGGTATCTGTACAACAGGCCAGGTCTCTGTACATCAGGCTTGTCTCTGAATAGGAGACCTCTAATCTGAACGACAGCTTGGACTCTGTGTAATAACCTTGTCTCTTTAAAACAGTCTGGTCTATTTGTTACAGGCCTGGACTATGTAAAACCCACTGTTTCTGTGTAAAATGCCAGGTGTCTCCATGACTTGCCTGGTCATGCAATACTGGCCTGATACCTGTGGAACAGCACTGGCCTCTTTAAAAAAACTATGAACTCGCTCTAACAAGCTGCTCTCTTTATAACTGCCTTGTTTCTGTAAAACAAGCCTGGTCTTTGTATAACTGTCTGGTCTCTCGATAAGAATCTGGTCTATGTATACAATGCCTGGTCTCTGGTAACATGCCTGGTCTCTCTACAATAGGCCTTATCTGTACATAACATGCCTGGTCTGTGTATCACAGGCGGTTCTATGTGTATCAAACTTTTATAATAGGTTTTGTCTGTTAGTAAAACGCTTGGTCTCTCTATTTAATGGGTTGCTAGTATTTCAGACACCCGGCTGATCACGGTGACGGGATTGTGTGTGTGTGTGGGTGTGTGTGTGTGTGTTTGTGTGTCAGACACATATGGTTGGGGGCGATGCGGTGGCTGTTGTGGTTTAGGGTGTGAGGGCTGAAGTTGGAAATGTTTCTCAATCTGGCAGGCAGCACACAGAGTGTGATCACTGCCCTCCCTCCACACACACACACACACACCTGCACTCCCTATACACACACAAACACAAACACACTGCCCTTCCTCTACACACACACTGCCCTCCCTCCAAACACACACAGACAGACACCTGCACTCCCTACACACACACACAAACACACTGCCCTTCCTCCACGCACACACTGCCCTCCCTACACACACACTGCCCTCCTTACAAATATGCACACTCACACTGCACTCCATACACACACACACTGCCTCCCTACACACACAACCCGGCACAGGCAGTGCACACAGAGTGGCCACTGCCCTCACTGCACCATAGTTAGCCTCGGTGAGAGGACAGATGGATTTCAGTCAACAACTAAAGCCTCGGCTTCTTGTTCTGCATCTGTCTCGCTGTTTGTTCAGAAAGACAGGAAACCAGGCGCTTGGGTAACTAACCACAGGGGATGTTCAGAGCTGAACCCACAGCGTCTTGTTTCTCTCTGCTGCTGACAGTCACAGCAAGAGAGCAAAGGGCAAAGCTACATGGAAATCAAACATAAATATACCATCAACACATAGCAGCAGCTCAAAATCTAACCGCTTGTTTCACTGACAATCGGACGATTGAGAATGTAGACTCGATGACAATCCTGTCAGTTTGAACTGTGAAACCATGTTGTGTTGAGTTCACTTGTGTTCCCAAATTTGCGGTCACCCACACAGCCCAGACCTGCAGTTTATGTCTTTATTAACGAAGAAACAGCCCCTCACAATGTCTGTCCCAGGTATCGATACAACAAACCCAGAATAACTTCAGACGTTCACTCCGTGGGAAGTTAATGTTGCAATACTATGTTGTCACCTTCACTCACAAAGTACACAGTTACTTCTCTTTAAAGTATATACTGCGACATGACTTGTGACGTCCTCCTGACTTGAAAGTCTCTATGTCAAATGCAAGGTGTATTATCCTGCAGGTTGGGGAACGGGAAGATGGGATTCATCGCAGTTGAATGTGCCGCAAGGTGATGAACTACCCACACACTTCCCCTCCTGCCCCTCCACACAAGTGCTGTGTCGGCTCGCACACAGCCTGGGACATGCAGCACACACACCACACACAGAGCCGCACACACAAACACAGCCTGACAGATCACACAAATACATACGCACACACAGACGGGACAGGCAGAGCGCATACACAGACCAGCACAGACATTCTGGGACAGACAGAGCACACACACAACCACAACACACCCACGCACATAAGCACCCCGGGACAGGCAGGGCATATACACACACACATACACACACACATACGCACAGCCCTTGACAGGTCGAGCACAAACAAACACACACACACACTGGTCACTCCACACACACAAACACACACAAAGCACGGGACCGGCAGAGCTCACAGTGTAGCCACTGCTCCCTCAGTTCCATAGTTGGCCTGAATGAGAAGTCAGAGGGTTTTGAGTGAATAACTAAAGCCTCGGCTTCTTGTTCTGCATCTGATTCACTGTTTGTACAGAACGACAGGAAACCAGGCGCTGGGTAACTAACCACAGGGCATATGCAGAGCTGAACTCACAGCGTCTTGTTCCTCTCTGCTGCTGACAGTCACAGCACGAGAGCAAAGGGGAAAAACTAAATGGAAATCAAACCTAAATATACCATCAACACACAGCAACAGCTCAAACTGGGGCTGTTTGTTTCACTAACAATCAGACGGTTGAGAATGTAGATTTGGTCTTTTGGGATCACAGTCAAAACCAACTGGTTTCACAAGAAGAGACTTGAGGGGTGGCTTTGTCAGCCTAGTGATTGGGAGCCGCCAACACAGTCACACTGAAACCTAATCCAGTTTCAATCAGGAAGTGCTGAGGATCAAAATGGCTTCTGGACTCCAGCGTGAGATCTGGACCGAGGAGATCATTTGCCCGGTTTGTCTGGATTTCTTCACTGATCCTGTTAGTCTGGGCTGTGGCCACAACTTCTGTCGCTCCTGCGTCACCCGGAGCTGGGAAAAGCAGGAGAACAACTGCTGTGCTGTTTGTCAGGAGACATTTCCAGAAAAGAACCTCACAGCCAGTTGGGCCTTGGCGAGTCTAGCAGAGAAAGCTCGAAAATTGTGCCTGAACCCGACACAGACGGCAGTTAACCTTCAGTGTGAGAAACACCGGGAGCAACTGAAGCTGTTCTGTGAAACTGACAAGAAATTGATCTGTTACATTTGCAGAGATGCGAAAGAACACAGAGGTCACAGCTTCCTGCCCATTGACGAAGCTGCTGAAATCTACAAGGTAATGATGCGCTCACGAAGGATTTATTTTGTTTTCGCGTCTGGTTTTCACATCAAGCACTTTTATTCTGTGCGTTTATTCCAGGATCAAACAAAGTCCTCCTTAGCTTCTCTGACACAGAGGAAGGAAACGGCTCTACAATCTGCAGCCAAACAGAAAGAAAAGATTTCACAAGTTAAGGTAAGTTGTGTTGGTGCTGATGTCTAGGCTATCAATGTTTCTTCGTTTACTGTGGGTTCACGGTGTGATGTCTCAGTGTCTCTGGTTACTGTGTTTACACAGTGTGATGTCTCAGTGTCTCTGGTTACTGCGTGTACACGGTGTGATATTTCAGTGTCTCTGTTTATTGTGTGTAAACGGTGTGGTGTCTCAGTATCTCTGGTTACTGTGTGTAAACGATGTGATATCTCAGTATCTCTGGTTACTGTGTGTAAACGATGTTATATCTCAGTGTCTCTGGTTACTGTATGTACACGGTGTGATGTCTTAGTGTCTCTGGTTACTGTGTGTAAACGATGTGGTGTCTCAGTATCTCTGATTACTGTGGGTACACGATGTGATGTCTCAGTGTATCTGGTTACTGTGTGTACACAGTGTGGTGTCTCAGGGTCTCTGTTTACTGTGTGTACACGGTGTGATGTCTCAGGTTCTCTTGTTACTGTGTGTAATGTTTGAATGTGTGACATTTGCAGGAACAGGTGAACAGTCTGCAGACCCACGTCACGGCTGAGTTTGCTAAAATGCACCAGAGTCTGACTGACAGAGAGCAGCGAGTGATGGGGGATCTCAGACAGCGAGAGGGGGAGATTTTAAAGCGAATGGAGGCAAATTTGCGAGAGATTCAGTGCAAATTAGATTCTGTTGAACAACAACTCTCCGAGTTAACGACACATCTGGGAAAAGACGATCTCACCTTCCTGCAGGTAAACAGATGACATTATAGTGCAGTTCAGGAACAGTTGTACACAGTCTGGAGCAGACAATCTAATTGTGATTGATAAAGAGATCACAGATTGAATTGGGACGTGAGAGATTCTGTACTCATGCAACTTGTTGTTTTGGTGGTGTCTCAGTGTGAGCTGACATCTGCCTCTGTTTGATTTCATTAGGAGGAAGCTGCTGGCAACAGAAGGTATGAAAAGATCTTTACCAAACATTCCAGAATTGAACCCAAATACCAACCGCAAGGTGCAGTTTCACTTTATAATCTGATCGTGTCTTATTTCAGGATCAGTGACAAGGGGTTTGTTCTGTCGCTGTGTGAGGATGAGCTGCCTGTGGGGATATACAAAGGGCCTATACAGTACACAGCCTGGAGACAGATGATACACGGCATCAGCCCAGGTAAATGTCTCCCATTCTCACCCTGAACCCGTGTCAATACAACAACAACAAGATTCCCTTTGTAGAGCGCCTTTCACTTCGGGAGGACGTCCCAAGGCACTGTACAGTTGGGTCAGAATCCGAGCATTGGGAGGAAATGGTCAGGGTGAGGGAAGGGAAGGGAAGGGAGGGAGCCAATGGACTTGCATTGGATCCCAACACATACCCTCCACACACTCCCTCACACGTACACATACCGACTCCTCACTCACAAATCGCAACATCATGACAGATACCCGCACACCTCACACACACACGCCTTGCACACACACCTCACACATACACACTCGACTTTCACAAGCAACTCTCTCTCACACCTCACACACATTTGAAACATACACCCCTCACAGCACTCCTCAAACACAGCCCTCACACACACCACTCACACACCTCACAGACACCTCATCAACACCTATCTCAGACACACGTATACACGCCTCACACACTCACCTCTTACACACACCTGAAAGCATACACAACACACCCATATCTGACACACACTCACCTCACAATACTAGTCACGCATAAATCTCACACAGAACGCTACACACACATCTCACACGAAACATACACAAACTCTTTAACCACACCTGAAACACACCCCTAAAACACACAACTTTCACATACGCACTGCTTACGTTACACAGCTCTCTCTCTCTCTCACCTCTTACAAACATCCCCTCACACACGCCTCACCCACAAACACACCTCAGGCACACACACACATCTCACATACGTCTACTACCGACTTAACCCTGAAACACAAGTCACTCACACATTCATACCCTCTCACGCACAGCCTCGTGCACACCTTCACACAAAGAGTCACACCCACACACAAGAAACTGACCCTCACACACCCACTCACTCAGCTCCTCACACACACCCTCAAACAGATCGACATGCAGACCCTCTCATACACGCTCCCACATTCCCTCACGCATACCTTCACACACACCCCTCACACACAACCTCTCACACCCCCTCGTACACATACCCTGTATGTGGAGTCCTGTAGCTCAGTGGTTAGAGCACTCGCGTTGCAAGCGAGACACATGAGTTCAATCCCAGGGAGAATGAATCCTTGGAAAAGTTTCCTTACTCCACACGACTGATAAGGATCCTCCAAAAAACAAGCACAATATTAAATTTGTCATTGTCTATCCACGGCTGTTTGTGGGGACTCTGTTGTGCACAATTCGCTGCCGCGTTTCGCTCAAATATATACGGTCAATTCACTTTACATTATATACTGTGAAGCGCTTTGAGAACTTGAGAAGACATGAAAAGCGCTATATCAAATGCAAGGATTTTTATTATTGCTATTATTATTACACTCACACATACACACACCGTCACACACACAATCACACCCGTCACACCCCATCCACCATCACACAGACCCTCGTACAGAACTAGACGTGCACGCTAAACACACACTTACATAAACCCTCACACACAAATCCTCACACATTACCTCACACACCACCCACTCACACACACACCCTCACACAAATCCTCACACACAATCCCTCTTACGCATCTTCAAACACTCCCTCACACAAACCCGCACAACACGCCTCTCACTACCGCTCACACAAACCTTTACACACACCCCTTAGAACCACCTTCACACATCCTCATACACCCCTCAAACAAACACTCACACACACCACTCACACACACCCCTGAAACAAACACTCACACGCAACCCTCACACACATCCTCACACATACCCTCACAAACCCTCACATTACCTCTCTCACATTCCCACAAACATAAACAAACAATCCTCTCACATACCCCTTTCACACACCCTCACGCACAACACTTCAACCGCATTCACACACACATTCACACACACCTTCACACAACCCCTCTCAGACCGCCTCACACACTTCACAAACACCCTCACTCTTACACGCACCCTTAGACATACCTCTCACGCACACACTCAAACACACCCTCAAAGTCACCTTCACACAACCCCTCTCTAAACCCCTTAAGCACATATTTACACACAACCCTTCCACGCACCTTCACACAGACCGTCACACAGACCGTCGCACAGACTCTCCCACACCTCTCACACACACCACTAACAAACATCCTCACACACCCTCACATACACCCTCACACGCACAACTCAAACACACACTCAAACCTCACACACATCCTCTCACACACCCTGATACAAACCCTCTCATACCACCTCAAACACACACTCGCACATACACCTCACGCACCTCCTCAGTCAAACGATCACTCAAACCCTCCCACACACTCCCACATAACAGCTAACAAACACACCCTCACACACGTCCTCACACAAAAGGTCACACAATCCTTCTCAAACATCCACTCATGTACTCCCCCCCACACACCCTCACACACACCCTCACACAACCCTTCTCACACGCCCTCACACACTGACTCTCACAAACAACTTTAAAAACAGTCCCTCACAGACCCTCCAACAGACCCTCACACACACCCTTCACACTCACCCCTCGCAACGCAACAAAAACACTTCACACACACACTCACACACACTATCACACACATCCTTCACACATCCACACGTAAACACTTACACACATCCTCACATATCCCCTCACACACCCCCTCACACAGACCATCACACAATCCCTCAAACATACCCTCACACACACTCGCACACACTCCCTCACACAAGTCCTCACTCAGAAGCTCACACATCCGCGCACAGAGTCTCGAACACACACACTCATACAACCGCTCACACAACCCCTCACACAGACTGTGACCCTCTGAGCTGGATTGTGTCCCCAGGTTTAGATGTGTTCACACATATTCTGTGCTCCCAGACGTCCCCTCACTCCACTTTGTGTTGTTTCTCTCTCTCAGCTCCGGCCTCTCTGACTCTGGATCCTGACACAGCGAGTCCCTACCTCGTCCTGTCTGAGGACCTGACCAGCGTGAGACACGCAGATAAACGGCAGCAGCTCCCGGACTATCCGAAGAGGTTTGATCCCGTTGTCATTGTCCTGGGGTCTGAGG